ATCAAAATAATATCATTATTTACTACCACCACGTGAACATCGACAATAACAATAAAACAAATATAATTCGAATAGGAAAGATGTTTTGTGCCACATTTAATACTAAAAAAATTTGGATAAACTAATGTTTCTACAGTTTGCATTTTCAATATGATAAATATATAATTTACTTCATATTTATTGTGATGACTACATTCAGCTTAAAATTGAAGTACTTCAAAGTCTTTTCGTCCAATATATATCAAGTATAAATTATACAAAACAGCATAGAAGTGTGTGCTAGGAAAACTACCTAAAAATGGCATCTAATACTATTTTTGCAACTCACTTTTTTTAGTACATTTATAGTAAACATTTAAGAACATCAGTATCTATTTATTTATACGTCAATTACTAAATACATTTTTTTAATGAACAATAAGAATATTATAAAAACTAGTACGAAGGTCTTAATAAGAAAAAAAACGTTTTATAAAACCAAATGAATTTTTTCTGAGAACATTAAACAGGTTATAAATTTGGTAAAAAAAAAACATTGCAGGCTCAGAGACAGACAGCAGAGAAAAGAGAGAGATAATGATGAGATGGCAAAGATATCCAAATGTTAAAGCACTCGTAAAACCTCAACCACAATCTCAGATTCTGTGCCCTAAATATCCTGAGTAAGCTGATACTCTTCTCACACAAACAACCTTCAGTACTCTGTATAACACAAGCACCACCCCTGATCCTTTCACACTAATTCAATCATTGAATATTACCCTTTATTAACTACAACATTTGAAGTCTCATATTTTATTCTTCACTTCAAACTCAGCCACCAAGCATGGCAGCTTTTACACCAATTGCTCTACAGTACTCATCTACATCATCTTTGCATTCTTTGCTCCCTTCTTTAGAAGCTTCACGTGATCATAATTCGTGGTGGGGGAAAGTGAGATCATACAAATCCGCAGGAAAAAGACCACTTCAACAAAGGGGTTTGACAATCCAGAGTGCAGCCACAAAACCAGCAAAGTCGCCAGGTACTTGTTCTAACTTACTCTTACATTCTGACCGAGTTAAATTCGCATGGCACTTGGAAGTATCACAGAACCCTAATAGCTCTTTTTTTTTGGTTTTTTAAACTTTTTTTTGGAGTTATTAGCTGAAGAAGACTGGAAGGTTAAGCGAGAATATCTGGTGCAAAAAAGGGTAAAGCTCCACCTGTGTGTCACAAACAAGTATATTTTCATTTGCATTCATAGCATTTTATGAAAAAACGAGTACAAAGAATAAGGAAATAAATGCATACTGTGCAGAGCATCAAGGTAAACGTAATATTGTAATGCTTTTGTATCATTATATATATCTTGAGTACACAAACAAGAAGAATCTCATGAGGGTATGGGAAAGCACCGGAGATCATAGAATAATTAATCATAAGTCGTACCTCAAAAGTTGAATTAAGGAATTAAAGGTTTAAGACTTGTTTGTCATGGCAGGTAAGAAGTGTGGATGCAAAGGAAGCTCTGCGGCTTCAAAAAGAAAATAATTTTGTGATTCTCGACGTAAGGCCAGAAGCAGAGTTCAAAGAGGTTAGTGGACAGATTTTAGAAGCTTTGTATTAAAATCCAACGTGTCTGCCCATTCATGTTTCATTTTTTGGTCTCTATGGTTCTTCTGATTTCCATAAATCGTTATAACATTATATACGCGTGTACACACACATATACGTACAAAGGATAAGACCGACGAGTTTGGCAACTGGTGCAGGCTCATCCTCCAGATGCTATCAATGTGCAAATATACAGGCTTATAAAGGAGTGGACAGCATGGGACATTGCAAGACGTGCAGCATTTGCTTTTTTTGGTATTTTTTCCGGGACTGAAGAGAACCCTGAGTTCATCCAGAGTACGATTAGTTACCCAACTTGTCACTCCTTGAATTCGTGCATTTCTTGCTTTCTGAAATAAAATATTTGGTTTATGCTGGCAGGTGTTGAAGCAAAGTTGGATAAAAATGCAAAGATAATAGTAGCTTGCTCAGCTGGAGGTACATTGAAACCATCACAAAATCTGCCCGAAGGTCAACAATCAAGGTATCAACTATTTCCAATTTATTGTGGCCGATTGCCTATTTTCTTCTCCTTTTGGATTTTTAACTTTGCAAATAGAAATTCATACATACTATTTAAGAATTAAAAATAGTCCAAAATGGTTGTAGACGTTTTGTGAAATGGATCCATTTTGCAATGCAATTCTGAAGCTTTCATTTTAGATGAGTCTGGAGTTTGCATCTAACCACGGATTCAGCTACATTAAAAGTATGCAGGGTAATAGATTTTTACATATCATTGTATCCTACCTAGCTATTAATTCAACGAATAATAACAGTACGAAAGATTGACAAGAATTAAGTCAAATCCAACGCAATTACCAATTAGCTCTCACCAAAGGAAAAAGTACAGCTAATAACTTGGATTGCATGGATGTATGAACGGGAAAGTTATACGGTTGTCTGCAATGCAATATGTAATCTTTTAACGGCTATACTCTGTGGTTGCAAGTTTTGTTGTGTGATTATGAAAAGAAATAATATTGACGCTTCAAAATGATTGATATATTTCCCTGATTGTCACGTCTTGATACTTTCACAGGTCTCTCATAGCAGCTTACTTGCTGGTCCTTAATGGATTTTCCAATGTCTTCCATCTTGAAGGTGGTCTTTACTCGTGGTTTAAAGAGGATCTGCCAAGTGTTTCAGAGGAGTAAATGTAGTGCCAAGAATGTGTATTAGTGAAGCGTAGACCTAGTTTTGACCATGATGAAAATACTGATAAATGCATATAAAGAGTGGAACCAACGATTGAAATGTCATTATTGAAGTAGTGCGGAAAACTAGTATGCAAGAATTGACAACAAAAATATCAGGTTACATTTCTGTAAAGATTGCATTCCTAGCTTAAACTGTTAAAGGTTCAATAATTTAGTATGCATAAACCATGTTTCTGAGCAACTGATGCATACTGCTTCAATGAATAAACCAAAATTCGCATTAAAGCATTTTCTGGTTCAGTTGCAATCGCTTCCTAAAGATGATCAACTAAAAAATAACGTTTGGGAAAAAGGTATTTGGTTAAACCTATTATTGCCTAAGCCTTTAAAGAAGCTCTCGCCATGGCTACAGCTCCATCATAACTTCGATTTCCTCCAATAAAACCACTCATGTGTACAAAAGTACAACCTGGGATTCCAGCACCCTCAGACAGCTTGTCATTTTCCAAACCCCTCCATAAATACGGTAACGGTTTTCTGCTCTCAAATCTGGCAGGTGAAATTGCCACTGCCTGCAGTCGCCACTTCTCTCCTCTATCATCCTACAAATAATAATAATTTATAATTTATTACATAAATTATCGATCTAATGGGAAAACAAAGAATGAAACCTAAAACTTACATGTAACCTGAATATGGTAATCAGCAAAAAAAGAAAAAAAAAAACAAAAAACAGTACAGATTTTCGGGGCAACTATGATTTATGCTTACGCTCAATCTTGAAGATTCATTTGACTAATTCGCTTAAACATACATACCGGGTAAATAACATATTTGATAGAAGGACTGATTTTCATTTCCTCCTCAAGCTCATGTATGTGAAGTTTCCACTGTGTAGCAAGTGACAAAAGGTTTGAGTTAGATAATAATCACAATGATATCCAAAACCTGCAAAGATTGTAATTTAATCTCTCTATTGGTATGAAGAGTAAACTCTAACAATAGCCATTAAAATCAGTAAGATTAATTTTAATGCGCTGTGGGCTGTCTTACAGGACAAGGTCGGGTAAGCTTAATGATTTCTCCACTCGAATCAACACTTTCCCTCACCGCAAGACTCTCCATCACAATCGACCGCGCCGGTAACCATGACTTTGCATAGTAATTGACATTGTCCAAAAATTCAGCGCCAGCCAGTGCCATTGCTTGTTGAAACAACTCATTTTCTCGATCAGAAGACTGATCAGAATCCATCCAGTTCAAATTCAAACGTTTAATTCTAGAAGAGAGACAAGTATTAACTACGTATTTCGGAGATTCATTTAGGTCATATTGATTCACTCCGTTATCCACAGCATCAATTGCCTCCACAAAATTTCTGTATATAGCAGGATATAAGCGGTGCACATGAGGATGGTCCTCGTGAAGCTTCAGCACATTTGCAATTATCTCCAAACCAATATGCTAGAGGAATAGGAACGAGTAACGAGTTAGGTTGAGCTACGACACAAGCAGCGAAAAGAAAAAGAGTGATGAACAAAGTACAAACACCTTGTAGACAAGGCCAGCGCTACTGAGTTTAGTGTGGAAACCGTGGCCGAATACTTGGTGGAAGCCCTTCTGGTGATGATCGAAACGGTGTCGTCGCGGTTCATAAACGCCTCCGACGTCGACGACTGCGTCGAGTGTTTCCAGAAGGTTGGGGTCTCTGGTTCGAACAATTTGAGCACCGGAGAAGCGTTTGGAGAGGCGAAGCATGAAGCACGCGAGTGCTTCATCGCAGTGGAAGGTTCCGTTGTGTGTGCCGACGCGCGTTGAGAAGCTCGACGCTAATAGGAAACGTGGTTTGTGGAATGCGAAGGTCTTGTGCCAAACGAATCCTGAGACACTGAGTTTAACCATCTTTGGAACTGTCTATACTCCCTGCCTCAAGAACATTCACACAAGCTTTTATTTGTATAAATCTATATATATATATATATATATATATATATATACCGAAAATAAATTTAATTTTTTTTAAATTTATTTATTTTATTTTATTTTTTATTTATTATTTAATTTTTAACGTGTGTTGTTATTATTATTAGATAGTGAGAAATAGTAAGTAATAAATATATTTATTATAGAGGTTGTAATTAATATTTTAAATTGAAAATTGAAAATTGAATGAATAACATGATGTTTGTTAAATTGACAGCAACTCACTGATGTGACTTACTTTTTTTCTTCTCTCCTATATTGTCTAGTTTTTTCTCTTTCCAGTTCAACCTTTTCTCTCTCTTCTATATTAATGGTTTCCATTTGTGGATATTTAGATTACTTTCTCCTCAATTAATTTTTTAATTTTAAATTTTTAGATAAATCAGATTCAACTAAATAGAATAAATAAATTACCTAATTGAAGAAAATTTAAAGAAAAAATAAAATAGTTCTATATAGGTGAAAAATAACAATATTTCGATTTTAAATTTTTTTAGAAAACATTATGACAATATTTAGATTTTAAATTTTTTGAAGTAAAATTATTAGAATTAATTTGTCAGTTGAAATTTAGAATTTTGGTTATGTTTGTTTTCGAAAAAAATCTTAAAGAATTTTAAGAAAAAAAATGTGAATTAAAATTATCTTTTGACACCAAATTGTAAATATCTTGTTTTTTTAAAATAAATTTGTAATGAAGTTTTGAATTAAAAAAAAACAATCCCTCGTATGCAAAACGAATATCTCAAATTGTGATAGAATTCAAGATTAGAATATATATATATATATATATATATATATATATATATATATATCGCTTTTATTTTTTTGCAAAAGTAACAGTAAAAAATTACCTTCTAAATACTCAAAATATATTTTATTA